ACACTGAATAAGTCATCACAAATGAAGACAAAACACTGAATAAGTCACAAAAGAAGACAAAACACTGAATAAGTCATCACAAAAGAAGACAAAACACTGAATAAGTCATCACAAATGAAGACAAAACACTGAATAAGTCACAAATGAAGACAAAACACTGAATAAGTCATCACAAATGAAGACAAAACACTGAATAAGTCATCACAAAAGAAGACAAAACACTGAATAAGTCATCACAAATGAAGACAAAACACTGAATAAGTCACAAAAGAAGACAAAACACTGAATAAGTCATCACAAAAGAAGACAAAACACTGAATAAGTCACAAAAGAAGACAAACAATAAAAGAAACATCCAAACAAACAAAACCAAAACAGCAAAAACAAAAAAACCAAACAAAAAAAGTCATCAACAAGTCAGCAACAAACACAACATACAATTTATTGTCACTCTCTCTCTCTCTCTGTCTCTCACTCACCTCTGCATAGTGCACGCCCTCCGGCAGCCCCAGAGGGTTGACCTTGACGGAGAAGGTGCGGCTGGTGTTCATGAGCAGGAAGTTGGTGGGGACGTGCACCCACGGCTGGGAGCTGGTCAGGCAGAAGTTCATCTGGAACGCGATCTTCACCTTGCCGTCTGAAATGCGTGAGGCATCGTGGTGAAATCAGGCGCTCGTCAAAAAATAATGAAATCGAAGAAACCGGCATTTTTCCCACCGCTTTGGCAATTTTTATTGACTTTTGCTGTTTTTGGCTCAACACCTTTTATGTCCATTTAAAAACACATTTCTGGGTGCATTTTTCTGAAAAACGTCGATTAAAGGCGCAAAAAAGGTAAATTTTCAGTTTCCAAGGACTTTCAAACTATGGAAATCACCAAACTCTGAAGGCCATTTTCTTGCTCACTTTACATCTGATACCAGGCGACGCCCATCTCGACTTTTATTCAAGATAGAGGAGGGGGGAGTGTGTGTGTGTGTGTGTGTGTGTGTGTGTGTGTGTGTGTGTGTGTGTGTGTGTGTGTGTGTGTGTGTGTGTGTCAGCGAACGCAAGACAAATGAACTAATGTTTTCATCATCAATGCCTTTCACCCCTGGCAGGGTATAGGCCACATACAAGCTCCTTCCATTTATCTCTGTCTTGAGCCATCCTTCCAAGCTCATTCCAAGTGAGCTTCATTTCTCTCATGTCCCTTTCCACGCATCTCCTCGGCTTTCACTGCCTTGCATCATAATCTCTCCACTTGGAGAAGATCCTAGATCAGCCATGCAGAGAAAATGTTTTTTGCTTGTATATGTTTCTGTAACAGGTTCTTTTTACGAGAGAGGTTGTTAGCCTCGTGACTCAACCCCCGAGCTGGAGGCAGGATGACTCTGTTTCAGGAATCACTACCTGGTTCGCCATTTAGTCGCCTCGTACGACACGTTAGCACCCCGTCAGTCCTATTCTTCTCAATGCCGAGACTGCACGGCTGAACAAATGTTTCGGATAATACCAATAAGTCCATATGCCCAAAAATTGACGAACGTCTGATTCCATCGTGTCGTGACACATACTGTTATTTTGATCATGATCAAGAGCCAGATCTGCGACAGACATCAGCGATCCTTTGCTCAGATGCTCTAAAAAAACCTGCATACTATCCTGATCTTTCCCAGTCATCTGTCTGTTTTGGCTCAGGGAGTAGGTTCCTCGGGGTCTTTATGATACTGAACTCTAGAAATCTTCTTCTTCTTTACGTATTGGTGGCGTTATGCTCTAATCTAACCATGTAACTCTTTAAAATTGTTCATCTTTGAGACAAAAGAAACCCTTCTGATTTAGATGACAAATGAAGATACAAAAGTAAGCTTAAGGGACTTTCATACTATTTATTACCTATATTCATCCGTACCCAGAACCTTAAAAAAAAGTATTTAATACACAATGGAAGTTTTACATTATATACAATACCCAGACCCTAAAAAAGTTATTAAACACACAATGGAAGTTTTATACTATATGTAATACCCAGACCCTAAAAAACAAATTGAATGCACAATATTACATTCATACTATATACAATTTCGGCTTTTCCCGGTCTGAGAGAGAGAGAGAGAGAGAGAGAGAGAGAGAGAGGGAGAGGGAGAGGGAGAGAGAGAGAGAGAGAGAGAGAGAGAGACAGAGAGAGAGAGAGAGAGGGAGAGAGAGAGAGAGAGAGAGAGAGAGAGAGAGAGAGAGGGAGGGAGGGAGAGAGAGAGAGAGAGAAAGACCCTAAAAAAAAGTATCAAATACGCGATATGCAACAAGCCACATGCGGTCCCCTCCTCACCGACACCCTCCTGGAACATGGGCTCCACCCCGACGGTCACTTCCGTGGGCTTGACCAGGTGAGTGGGCTCCCGGAGGTAGATTCCGCGCGTGTTGCTGGGGGTGGTCACCGTGAACTGTACGTTCTCGCCCACGCAGTTGCGATGTTCCGTCAAGTAGTTGAATGCTTCTTCCACCTGACGAGAGTTGGGAGAGAAGATATCACACCGAGACCTTAACTACAACCACAGATCATCTATCTCTGCAGAAGCACCAGCTACCCATTAGAGCTGGGCGAAGAATCGATTCCAGAACCGGTTCCCACACCAACGGTTACCAGTTACTTTAGTCATTAAAATCTTCTTCTTTTTAAAAAAAAATTTATTTAAAAAAAATAAAAGTTGATGCTTCATAGTGTTCCCAAAAACAAGGTTATCCTAAATCCTGAAGATGTTTGGAGCCAATCATGTAACCACAGGAAGAAATCACATCATTAGAAAGTAAGTAATTGGGTTCTGAGTCGATTCCTACGATTCCTAGCTTTCAATAATCGCGAACCTCGTCGCCCAGCACTAGACTACTACCCATACGGTTTCTTCCACTTGAGACGTTTTAGATAGTGAGAGTTTTACAGCACTTGTAACACAATTTGGTCATATAAGTGCCGAAGGTTAGACGTGTTACAAGAGAGTAACAAACACAAATAAGATCTGAAGGAGGAGATTGTTTGTTTTAGTAGAGGTTTTACAGCGCTCGCAACTGCATAAGGTCACATATGAGCGCCAGAAGATTAGAGGTGTTACAAGAGAGTAACAAACATAAAAAAGAAGAAGGGGAGATATGGACGATAAGGAGCAAACCACACCAGAGCACCCGCCAACCACCCACGAAGGAGGAGAGATAAGGATGACAGATGTTTCATTGGAAAGGGGCGAACCACAGCAGAGCACCCACCAACCAGCCACTTACAGTGAGAGTACCCACTAACCAGCCACTTACAGTGAGAGTACCCACTAACCAGCCACTTACAGTGAGAGTAACAACCAGCCACTTACAGTGAGAGTAACAACCAGCCACTTACAGTGAGAGTACTAACCAGCCACTTACAGTGAGAGTACCAACCAGCCACTTACAGTGAGAGTACCAACCAGCCACTTACAGTGAGAGTAACAACCAGCCACTTACAGTGAGAGTAACAACCAGCCACTTACAGTGAGAGTACCAACCAGCCACTTACAGTGAGAGTACCAACCAGCCACTTACAGTGAGAGTAACAACCAGCCACTTACAGTGAGAGTAGCAACTAACCAGCCACTTACAGTGAGAGTAACAACCAGCCACTTACAGTGAGAGTACTAACCAGCCACTTACAGTGAGAGTACCAACCAGCCACTTACAGTGAGAGTACCAACCAGCCACTTACAGTGAGAGTAACAACCAGCCACTTACAGTGAGAGTAACAAATACAAAAAAAAGGAGGTCAGATAAGAACGATGTTGGATGTAATGTTCGACAGAGAAAAAAAAAGGAGCAAACCACACCAGAGCACCCGCCAACCACCTACACATCTATTAATAATAAATAGCATTTGTATAGCGCATTTCCCCGCTCGACAGCGAGCTCTATGCGCTTTACACTATATTATTACCCCAGCAGACCATAGACCATAGAACACTCGGAAACATTCTCAGCTTCCCGGGAAGCATACAGTGCAAGCAGCTGAGTAAGCGCTCAAACACTAACAAACTGACAAGGTCTTTTAGTTTAGTTTTAGTAAGAGTTTTACGGCACTTACAACACAATAAGATCAAGTGCCGAAGATTAGAGGTGTTACAAGAAAATTGAAGAAAGTAACGAACACAAAAAAGGAGGAGTGAGTGAGAAGGACGACAGTCTTTTTTAAAGAAAAGAAGGAGCAAACCACACCAGAGCATCCCCCGCCAACCACCCGTACGTCTACACATCTAGAAGCCCCAAAGACCGACATTTTTCCACACCTGTAAAATCCCTTGTCCCAAGGCGAAGACTTCGACCCCGTCCGCTTTGCTGGCAGTGTTCTCCAGGGCTCGGCGGACGCTGAAGGGCGAGAAGCTGACGGAGTTGGCCTTGAGTCCCGACAAGACCAAGGCTGGGGACAGAAAGAGGCACGGAATTCACAGTAGTAGAAAATGTTGAATGACGGTACAACACTCACAGTGTACAAGACGGAAAACAACTAGAAATGTACAGAGACAGGAACCAGAACACACACACACACTCACACATGTTATTATACATACACACATATACACACACATACATATACAAAGGCACATACACACACACACACACAGAGAGAGAGAGAGAGAGAGAGAGAGAGAGAGAGAGAGAGAGAGAGAGAGAGGGAGAGAGAGAGAGACAGAGAGAGAGAGACAGAGACAGAGACAGAGAGAGAGAGAGAGACAGACAGAGAGAGAAAGAGAGAGAGAGAGAGAGAGAGAGAGAGAGAGAGAAAGAGAGAGACAGACAGACAGAGACAGACATACAGAGGGGAACAGAGAGGGAGAGAGAGATACAGAGAGACGGAGAGAGAGAGAGAAAAAGAACTGACCCAGAACCCACCTATAGATCCACAAGCATTCGGACTACTCATGCTGGTCCCGTTCATCAGCTGATTGCCCCGCAGCGTCCAATTTGGCACAGAGGCTATGGCACCGCCCGGCGCGCTGATGCACACACCCAGGGCTCCGTCGTGACTGAAACACAAACAAACAAAATTAATTAATTCGTTTTAGTTACAGTTTTACTGCACTTGCAACACAGATAGGTTATATATAAGTGCCGAAGAACTTAATTTTAAGTTTTAGTAAGACTTCTACGACACTTGCACAACAAAAGGTCATCTTAGTAGTGAAGATTAGTAGAGTTGCTGGAGAGTATCATACAAAAAGAAGTTTTTAGTTTAGTTTTAGTAGAGTTTTTACAGCGAGAGAAGTCCATACAGGGAATCAGACTTACTCTGCTCACCCCTCTAGCTTCAACAGTCTGCTTCGACTATCAAGGCACCCCAGAAATAGCAGTTCACAAGAGAGTGACAAACATACAAAAGAAGTATAGGAAACGTTTAGTTTTAGTAAAAGTTTTATGGCACTTGCAACACAATAAGGTCCTATAAGTGTCGAAGATTAGAGGTGTTACAAGAGAGCAACAAACACAAAATAGAAGGAGGGGAGATAAAGACGATAGATTTTTGATAGAAAAGAAGGAGCAAACCACACCAGATCACCCGCCAACCACCCACGTACAGGAAAAATTACGATAGTAAGGATGAGGAAAGAAAAAGCAGCAGTTCCCCGTAAGAAGTTCAGGCACAGTTATGAGCAAGACATCGATGATTCAGCCCATTTACAACTTTACTGAGAATAAGAACAGGTTAATGTCCCCCCTTTCGGAATGGCCTAAAGACACTTCAGTCAGTAGCACCGCCCCGGGGGTGCAAAAAAGAAGGAGGGGAGATGAGGATGATACTTTTGAGAGGATAGAAGGAGCAAACCACACACGACAGACAGACAGACAGACAGACAGTCAAAAACAACAGACGGAAAACAAAAGAAGTAGGACCTACAACAAAAATTAAAAAATCTCCCCGACAGAACCCAAAGAGCAAACAGCACGGAGAACTCACGAGGGTCCCCGGGACGATACTTGCAACAAAACATCATAAAAATGCTGAAGATAAGTGGTGTTGCTAGTAGAGAGTAACAAAGAATAAGAAGGAGGAGGAGAGAGAGATAATGACGTTTGAGAGGAAAGAAGGAGCAAACAACCCACGACAGACAGAGAGACAGTCAGAAACAACAGACGGAAAACAAAAAAAGTACGACCTACAACAAAAAAATTAAAAATCTCCCCAACAGAACCCAAAGAGCAAGCAGGACAGAGAAAACTCACGCGGGTCCCCGGGACGATACTAGCAACAAAAGATCATGTTGTTATTGTTGTTTTCAAATCCCTTTAGCTGCGAGCATTTCGCTCTTGGCAGCCCAATGCCTCCCTCAAGTAACCACATGTCCTTGTCTTCTGGTCAACGCCAGAGACAAAATATCATAAAAGTGCTGAAGATTAGTGGTGTTGCTAGTAGAGAGTAACAAAGACTAAGAAGGAGGAGAGAGATAAGGAGGAGAGAGAGAGATAAGGACGTTTGAGAGGAAAGAAGGAGCAAACAACGCACGACAGACAGAGAGACGGTCAGAAACAACAGAGGGAAAACAAAAAAAGTACGACCTACAACAAAAAAATAAAAAATCTCCCCAACAGAACTCCAAAGAGCAAGCAGGACAGAGAAAACTCACGCGGGTCCCCGGGACGACCAGGTGTAGTGCATGGCCGGCAGCTGTTCCCTCATAGAGTAGCCTGCCGCCATCATCTGAGGGGTCACATGGGCACCCACGGCTGGGAAGGGGAGGGGGGGGGGGGGGAGAGACGGGTCATGTTACAGGTTATGTCCACAGAGTTCCATTGGTAACGACAAGTTGTTCAAAATTAATAATAATTAGAATAAATAGCATTTGTATAGCGCATATCCCCGCTCAACAGCAGGCTCTATACGCTTTACACTATATTATTACCCCAGCAGACTATAGAACACTCTGAAACATTCTCAGCTTCCCGGGAAGCATACAGTGCAAGCAGCTGATTAAGCGCTCAAACACTGACAAACTGACAAGATCTTTCGCTGTCTATAGCTAGGTACCCATTCCCACCTGGGTGAAGTGAGGAAAATTCGTGTAAAGTGCCTTTCCCAAGGACACAACGTCGGGTCCCTGACGAGATTCGAACCCACGACCTTACGGTAGCGAGTCCGAGAGCCTAACCACTAGGCCACCGACGCCACCAGGGATCAAATAATATAAACATATTGACTGCCCAGGATAAGACTATCATATGTCACTGATCACAAAAGCGTATGGCGGAGTCTAATATTGAGCAGACAGTATGTCTACGATGTTCTGTTTAAGTTTTAGTAGAGGTTTTACGGTGCTCGCAACTGCACAAAAAAGAAAAGTCGAGATAAGGACGATAGATATTTCATAGGAAAGAAGAAGCAAACCCCACCAGAGCACCCGACAACCACCTGATGATACGACAGGTAGATAAAAGTTTATTGTCTGGATGCTGCAATTTGGTGTTTCAAAACACACACACACACACACACACACACACACACACACGCATACACACACACACATACGTGCCCATAGCTATACACACACATTCTAATCTCTCTTCCACACACATTTGTACACGTACACACAC